ACCCTTTCGGGCATTTTTCAGGAAATGGTCCAAGTTTATGGTAACAAATATCCTTATTACAATATTATTGTGGCATACTGGTTAAGAACATTCAAATCTGGATTCATGTCGGTGACGGATGAAGATCGTGAAGATTTTTTGTGGTAATTGAAGAGAATGTATCCATAGTGAAGAAACTGGTTTACAAGACCGACGAATAACTGTTAAACAGCTCTCAAGTGAAACGAGAATAAGTGTAGGGTCAATTAAAACCATTCTGCATGACCATCTTAACATTAATAAAGTGTCTGCGCGGCGGATACCCAGCCTTTTGACAAATGAGCAAAAAAGCAGAGGATTGAGTCCTGCAAAACTTTCTTTCCAGTTGAGTCCAAGTCCAATGATACATATTTCTTTTAAAACATGGTGGCTATGTCGGAAACATGGATTTACCATTTTGATCAGAACAAAAAATGTCCCTCATGCCATAGAAAACCCCTTCTTCTGCCTCACCAAGGAAGGCAAAGGTAACATCGTCAAGTGGAAAGGTCATGCTGTCGTGTTTCTGGGGTTGTGAAGGTATCATCATGACTGACTACCTGGAAAATGGAAAAGCAGCCACAGGAGACTCAATCTACTCGGGTTAACTGATAAAATTGCGGTCTGAATTGGTGATAAAAAGGGGTGAAAAACTCCGTAATAGGGTCCTCCAACTGCATAACACAGGGCACAACAAGCAACCAGACAGAAGAACAGTGCGGCTTTGAAATCCTGTCACACTCAGCTCTTTCACCAGACCTTGCCCCCTCAGACTTTTTTCTGTTTCCTGATCTTAATAAAATCACTCAAATCACGTCGTTTCCTTGACAACGAGGACGCCATTGAAGCTGTTGAAGACTGGTTAGGGCTCCATTCTAGGTCATTTTTCTGTGTTACTTTGCATGGTGACTAGGTAAAAAAATAAAAGTATGTGTGCCATGTTACAAAGCTCTATCTTTATTCCTTCATATTTAGACCAAAGACTTCTTGAACCTCCCTCATATGCTGTTGTCTCGTCAGAGTTGAGTCAAGGTTAACATTGCTGTATATTCATATCATTTTGAAGGTTTTTCCTGAATAGCCAGGAAAGAGAGACAAGGAAAAAGAGAGAAAGAGAGAAAGAGAGAGAGAGGGGGGGGGCAGACAGACAGACAGACAGACAGACAGACAGACAGACAGACAGACAGACAGACAGACAGACAGACACACACACAGACAGACAGACAGACACACACACAGACAGACAGACAGACACACCGACAGACAGACACACAGACAGACAGACGGACACACACACAGACACACAGACAGACAGAGACGTGATTGTGGTAGGGGGAGGGGGCACGGGGCACAACCAGTGTTCTATGAGGCGAAGTATATTTTGTTGCTTTTGTTTTATAGGGTTTTTCATTTTTAAAGATAATAACTCATGTTCGCCATCGACGCTGCAGATAGTGGGCGACTTCATGCTTGGGAAGCAGGCGAAATGGTAACAGCCTCTCCAGGCATCGGGTCACCATAATCCCAGGCCTACGGAAGGCTTTGAGTGGATAACTTGCATTACAAAGGCGCAGCTATTACGACAAACACGCGACTCGAATGTACGTGACTTCTTACCCAAGATGAATCCGAGAGCAGCAATTGTGTAGCATCGTGGGGAAATCAGAAGCTCGTCTCGTCAAAACAGTGAAATCGCAGACACCGGCATTTTACCGCCGGTTTGGCCATTTGTATCGAATTTGCTGGGGCAGGGGGGTTGGGTTTTTTTGGGGGGTTTTTTTGGGGGGGGGTTGGTTTGGTTGGGGGGGGGGGTTTGTTGGGTTTTGTTTTGGGCTCAATACCTTTAACTTTTCACAACACATTTATGTGTGGAATTTGCGGAAAATCGTTGATTAACAGCACAAAAAATGTAAATTTTCAGTTTCCATGGACTTCCAAGCCATGGAATTCACTGACCGTGGGCAGCCATTTTCTCGTTAATGTCACCTTTGAAACCGGGCGACCCCCATCCCCTTCAATTGCATTAATTAAATATCTGGACTTCCTTTCAAGATAGACGGGTATTTTTTTTCGTCGAAAGCAAGACACATAAACACATTTTAAGATGATATCAATTTACTCTGCATGCCCAAACATTGACGAACGCCTGAATCCACTGCGTCTTGATAAAATCATTAGGCCTATTTCTGTAAAACGGTGGTGAGTATTTCTAGAACTGCTCAGCCCAGATTTTGGACCCACTGCTGAGATTGCTCCAACCCTCAGGAAACAAATCCTCCTTCTAGCACGTCTTTACACTCCCTTAAAAAATAATTTCACCCGTCTTGTTATTTTCCTGCAGTAATGTACGCTATATGTACGATATGGATCTCTTTACTCAAAGTCACCTGACATAAAATGTATTTCGAAAGTGGCAGGAGGAAGCCACACTGTTGGTTCTGTTACATTTCTTGTCTCTGTCTCTAGTTCCCCCTTCCCTCCCCAACCCATTCTTATATCTTTTTTTTTCCTACACGAAATGGTCTCTATCGTGTCAATTTTCTTGGTTTGTTTTTTTTAGAGAAGAAACTTTTCCATCACTATCCGAGTCGAACCCTGGACCTATTGAATGAGAGGCGAACACTTTATCCTCAAGACCACGAGAGCCCAATCACACGTAACACACATACACACACACAGAGAGAGAGAGAGAGAGAGAGAGAGAGAGAGAGAGAGAGAGAGAGAGAGACATACACACACATAAACAAACAACACAAGTAAACACACACACACAAACACACACATTTGAAAGAAGGATACATAAGTCCAGTTTGCGACCAGCACTTTGTAAGCGAGTTTGTTGTCTTGTCATGGTTGTGCAGTACCTGATAATATATGTATGCAATTACAATGAACTCGTGGTTAAACGAACTAGCGCCTGGCACTGCGTGGCATCGCCAGCAAGAGCCGGACCCCGCCCCCATCTTGGACGATTATGAGTATCCATTTCTCTTTTGGTTTCTGCCTAATCTAGCGACTGTCACAGAATATGGAGAAGAACAGAATGTGACCTTGGCTTATACTGGAGGTGGTGTATATGGTAAATGTGTTACTTGCAAATAGAAAAAAAAAAAACCTCAACAGTTTGCGAGAATAGTCGTGCAAAGCTTACACCCATAATACAGAGATACTATATTTCAGTAACCGTGTTCTAAAACTGGGTTCACTATTATCTCGTGCGGCAAAGGCTGTAAAATCTATTCGTTTTCATGGACTAGAAGGTTAGCGGTTGGCGGCTGCTCTAGTGTGGTTTGCTCCATCTTTCCTATAGAAAATAAATCGTCCTCTTCCTTTTTTTAAAATGTTCGTTGCTTTCTTGTAACACTTCCCATTTTCGACACTTAAATGAGTGTGTTGAAAGTTCATTAAAACTCTTATTTAAACTGAAATGCACTAGTATAGAAGCAATGATTGGATTGATTGCTTCTTTCCGGAATGATGACTGCAGGCGAGAGTGAGAGCCACTGCATGAGCTTGCGAGCTTGTAGAATTTGTAATGTTTTATATATATCTTTGACTGCAAGACTGCCAACAGCTACGAGAAAAATTTGCCCTTTAAATTAAGAAAAAGAAACTTGGGTGGTGTTTCTCCTGATTCTGCCGTCTATGGACAGAATAGTCTGAAACGGGAAGTGGGGGTTAGGAGAGTTGCTGATATTTTTCTTGCAAGGGCAAATTTCCTACAATTGTGCTCCCTGTCCTTTTTCTATTTTCTGTAGAGGCGCTTTGTCAGCACGCGCATCCCAGCGAACCTAGACAAGCAAACCGTGGCAGACAGCACAACCCGGTTGATCTAGAGCACCACCAGTACAGAATCAGTTTATTCCGGAAATGTCATCGTTATCATGATCGAACCCCAGCATACTTTTCGCCTTTCAAATCTTCAATGAGATGACTTAACAGTGGGCGGTTCCAGATCGTACCCTAGCACTCTAAAGAGATGAAATACGGATGCTTCATTCGGCTACAAAGTAATAGGATGCCTGGTGTGAAGGAATAAAGAACAATTGAAAACAATTCAACCATAAGCGTTCGGTTATCTTCCTTGCAGCAAACACACCAACTGAAACGTAATTGTGTTATTCTGGAAAATTACAACTGAACTATTAACGTCTTCAAGTACATGTATCACAATAGACTAGCCTAACATATGAACGTCAAAAGAAAGACTGGTGTCAATGTTCATGTGAATAAGTTGTTAGATTTCTTTTGAGCGCCCTGTTGGACCATCGCTGCGGCTGCGGGGACTAACATTCCATTAATTGGCGCTGGATGACCCCAGGTTGTTACAAGTCTTGAAATAAACGACCCATTGTAGATCCATCGAAGTCGTGTTTTCTTATTGTTGGTAAGTTGACTGCAACAAAATCGGGCTACTGAGTGCACCTTTTTAGAGCACAAACCAAAGTTCATGCCGTTTTAATGGCCTTTGTTAATGGTGGGTTTTTTTGGCTGGGTTTGTTTGTTTTTAAAGGTTGACTCCATACGAGACACCCCAAAAATATAATATAAATAAAGGCTGAACTCTTGATTCTACAGTACAAAATAAAGCAGACAGCGGAAGAGGAGGAGAAACCAATAGCTCAAAGTTTGTTACATATATATATACACATATAATCATGTTGTAATAAACATTTATAAAAGTAAGTTAGGTATCTCAACGCCTCTTAGGAGTAATGAAAAATACACCTATAGAGTCAGTGTTTGGTATCTGTCCTTTGTGACAAATTGATTCCAAGTAACCGTGGCCTGCAGAGGAATCGAAATTGTCAGAAAATTGAGCTAAAAAGGGTTTTCTCGGCATGCCGACAAAAGGTTTTTAAATAAACAGCGAAAGAATTTTTTTTTAATTTTAAATATTGAAGTACACAAACATAGAGCCTCCACCACAATCTCACATCCTCAGATGGTGTGACCCTTTCCCTTCCCTTGCTATAAACACCTTATACAACCACTCAAATGAGCAAACAGTTTCACTTTCTAATTAAAACCATGAATGTCATCAGTTAATAAGACAATAAGAGACGCATTTGAGTTTACTTGTATTTTGCAGCGTTTTTATTTGTGGTTGATTATGTTTTTGTAAAGTTTATGTAAATGTGAGCTCTAAAATGTTTGTAAATGAATAAGTATTGCATGTGTATGCTACGACTATTGTCCCGCAGGAGCAGTAATAAATTTAATTGTCCTTCAACGAACGCAGAAGGAAAAAAGGAGATGATATAAAAAGAGAAACAAACAACAACAAAAAAACAAAGACTAATGAATATCTTCATTTCTTTCTTCATAGATCAACTCAGAGGAGCTGCAGTCATGTCTAACAGCACCAATAGTAGCAACATAATCAAGCTCACCATAGACCTCAAGGCTCTCGACACGGCTCAAAACAGCTTTTATGGAATCTTCATCGTCCTCGGAGTACCGATCAACCTATGGTTCCTTGTTGCCCTGCTACGGTCACCAGAATTCCAAGCCAGACTCAGGAACAAACTGGTGTCGAGTTTACTTGTCGCTCAGTTACTGGAAACTGGTGTCATTATGTCGGTGTACCTGATTGTCAAGTTTGTGTTTCGAAGTCGATCGTTTACACCCGAAATGTGCTCCGTGATGAGTTTGTCCAGAAACTTAACCATTATACAGGATTTTATTGCCAACTGGACTGTTGTGTTGATAGTAGCCGTCTTTTTGGCACAGGTGAATGATTTCGATTTGTCCCACAGGCTCACTCCTTTAGCTTTGAGAATAGTAGGCATTGGCTTACCGGCTATTCCCTGGTTTGTTTCCCTCTTGTTGATCCCCATTATCACAAAAGTCGAAGCCATTCCCAAGTTTTTCTGCGTTTTGGCTAAAAAGCAATCAATGGTTATTTTCAAGTCACTCGACTGCATCGTTCCGATACTTGCAGCTACCGTTCTGTTGGCTGTGGCTGCTTTTCAGAAGCGGCGGCGCTACGCTGCAGGCTCCGGCGTGATGAAGTCGGAGTTGATAGGCCGTGGCCCTCAGATTGACAGTGTCATCCCTTATGTCGTCATTGTGTCCACTGCCATCGTCTTCGACTCCCCAAACATGACGCGCTTCTTCGGCTACCCGTTCGAGAACTGGAATTCGAGGTAACGCTTGAGTTTTTCAGTGCATTAACAATTGCCCCCCCCCCCCCTCTCCCCGGTAATGCTGTTTCCCAGTGCAAATAGTGAAGACTCACTAGGACGCGCGCATTTCACTGTCGATTTATGTTCCACTCTGTTTGAAGACTACGATATGTTAGTTGGTGCAGTATTCTCCTACCTCTTTAAATTATTTAAGTCTGATTTTAGAGAAGGGGAGGGAGGGAGGGAGAGAGAGAGAGAGAGAGAGAGAGAGAGAGAGAGAGAGAGAGAGAGAGAGAGAGAGAGAGAGAGAGAGAGAGAGAGAGAGAGAGAGAGATATATATATATATATATATATATATATATATATATATATATATATATATATATATATATATATATATATATATATATATATCCCGCATACTGAACTTTAGGTTATTATTGAAGTTCGTTTTGTTGAGAGCGTCATATTATATCAACTATAACGATATTATAGGTCGAATTCTGTTAATTGACATACAAACAAGGTCTAATCGTAACTGAGAACAGAAAATCATCTAACAATACTTCCACATCAGTCTGATATCTATATGATAGTCCCAGAGTCAAAAGTTATTTCCTGAGTAACAGGGGGTTCTTACAATGGTGTGTATTTCTTGTGGTTTTTTTATTCATTCATTCTGGTCATTTTGATATACCAGACGAATATTACAGAAACTAAATGTAATAACAGAACAGTAACATGCTATTGTCTTTGCAGGATCATCTTTGTATACGTTTCCCATCTGCTGGTCAACGCTCGCTCCGTGGTTATGCCAGCAATTTTGCTCCTCCTCCCTGATGTGAGAGAGCGAATCAAAACATGGCGCCCCTGGTATCGCCCCGCCCAGGGCATTGACTTGACGGTCGGGTACACTACAGAACAGGCGTGAATGGCCGAGAACACATGTCAGTCAACGAAATTAACATGATAAATTCTTTTTGAAAATGTAAGTGTTTATATTTCGAGTATTTGTATCATATTACTGTGGGCTTCATAATAGTATTGCTCCCTCTAGTGTCTAAAGTAAAACTATGAATCCCCCCAATCCAAACCCTTAAAAAATAATAGATGTCCGCCTTCCGGATATTTATACTTCAAATGATCATCCCATTCCCTCGACCTGTATTCGCCCGGCCTTTTGCAAAATATGATAACTCTTCTATAATTGTTTAAAACTCTTCATACGCCCCCCCCCCCCCCTTACCACCCTACCCACCACTTTCCACCACCCCTAAAAAAATATGCCAGTTGCAGGTGCAATGTTCCTTAAGGTTCCTAAATGTTTATGTTTTTGTGAGCGTGTGCGCGTGTGTGTATGTTTGTAAATGCGTATAATAGTATGCGTGTGCTTATGTGCACATAAACGAAATTTGAAAAGAAGAGAGGAGGGTGTGAGAAGAAAAAACGAACGAAAGAGACAGACAGACAGACAGACGACGGGAAAGAGAAAGCAAACGAGAGAGAGAGAGGGGGGG